GGAGAACATAGGCAAAACACTCTCCGACATAAATCACAGCAGGATCCTCTATGACCCACATCCCAGAATTTTAGAAATAAAAGCAAAAATAAACAAATGGGACCTAATGAAACTTAAAAGCTTTTGCACAACAAAGGAAACTATAAGCAAGGTGAAAAGACAGCCCTCAGATTGGGAGAAAATAATAGCAAACGAAGCAACAGACAAAGGATTAATCTCAAAAATATACAAGCAACTCCTCCAGCTCAACTCCAGAAAAATAAATGACCCAATCAAAAAATGGGCCAAAGAACTGAACAGACATTTCTCCAAGGAAGACATACAGATGGCTAACAAACACATGAAAAGATGCTCAACATCACTCATTATCAGAGAAATGCAAATCAAAACCACAATGAGATACCATTACACACCAGTCAGGATGGCTGCTATCCAAAAGTCTACAAGCAATAAATGCTGGAGAGGGTGTGGAGAAAAGGGAACCCTCTTACACTGTTGGTGGGAATGCAAATTAGTACAGCCACTATGGAAAACAGTGTGGAGATTTCTTAAAAAGCTGGAAATAGAACTGCCATATGACCCAGCAATCCCACTTCTGGGCATACACACTGAGGAAACCAGATCTGAAAGAGACACGTGCACCCCAATGTTCATCGCAGCACTGTTTATAATAGCCAGGACATGGAAGCAACCTAGATGCCCATCAGCAGACGAATGGATGAGGAAGCTGTGGTACATATACACCATGGAATATTACTCAGCCATTAAAAAGAATTCATTTGAATCAGTTCTAATGAGATGGATGAAACTGGAGCCCATTATACAGAGCGAAGTAAGCCAGAAAGATAAAGACCATTACAGTATACTAACACATATATATGGAATTTAGAAAGATGGTAACGATAACCCTATATGCAAAACAGAAAAAGAGACTCCGATGTATAGAACAGACTTGTGGACTCTGGGAGAAGGCGAGGGTGGGATGTTTCAAGAGAACAGCATCGAAACACGTATATTATCTAGGGTGAAACAGATCACCAGCCCAGGTTGGGTGCATGAGACAAGTGCTCGGGCCTGGTGCACTGGGAAGACCCAGAGGGATCGGGTGGAGAGGGAGGTGGGAGGGGGGACCGGGATGGGGAATACATGTAAATCCATGGCTAATTCATTTCAATGTATGACAAAACCCACTGCAATGATGTAAAGTAATTAGCCTCCAACTAATAAAAATAAATGAAAAAAAAAAAAAAAAGACAGGTAGGTTAGGTGGATCACATGCATTTTTGACTTAGGGTATTTTCAACTTATGATGGGTTTATCAGGATGGAACCCCACCATAAACTGAGGAAGAGCTGTTATCAGATAACGTACCATCAGGCTCGCTGTAATACAGCCAGAGATCTTACACGTGGTTACAGCTGGGAAGCACCCCAGAGAGGACAACTTCAATTCTCCATTTACTCCACTGAGAGGAGGGATGCCTATCCAAAGTCAGCCGGCCGATAAGGGTCAGATGCAAGAGGTGCATGCAGGGGTCTGGACCCCACTGTGCCAGGCCACGCTCTGCAGTGATGCCCCAAGGGACGTGGATGAAGTGAACAGGCTTGCAACAGGCTCGTGTCTCCACACGCAGAATCACGCCGAAGGGCCAGGCGCGACAGTGAGTGACCCAGCTCTCCGAAGCCTCACGGGATCCACTTTGGGCTCCCGTGTCTCTGGAGTCCATCTCTTATGGGAGGCTGGTTCTCTGTTTCAGGAGGGGCCTCTTCCAGCGATATTTTTAAAAGTTACTTAAAAAATTGTGTAGGATAGGAATAGTGCTGTTAAGAATTCAGACTATGGCAATCCTTCAGGACTTTAAATGAGGATAAGTTTCTTATTTTTCCAGTGACTTAAAAAATCCCAGGAGGGGTGTCCTGACTGGCCTCAGGACAGGGAAGACTCTACAGATTTCCCCACTGAGACTCCGTAGGTGAATTCTGAGGAGGAGCAGAGCCTCAGGAGCCAACTCGGAGAAGCATGAACGGAAAGGCATGGAGAGGCACTCGTTAAGGACCTCCCCGTGGCAGAAACAGCTTCACTTAATGTGGCTTTAGCTTATCCCAGTAGACAACTGCAGTGGTTTTTGTCATTTAAAAATTCCGTCTGTGAAAGTGTCACATCAGATGGAAGAAATCATTGGACTGTATTCTCTTTTCTCCTCCCAACCTACCCAATATAAACCCTCCATGACTCTAAAGAATGTCAAACCATCCATTTGTCTTAAGACTGCCTGTATCACCTTTAAGTTCACACCGGTGGGAGTCTGAACAGTGAATTTTCACAAGTTCAGTATCTAATCTCAACATCCCCAAATACCTTGAGTATATACCTATGAAACCTCTATCAATCGAACTCTTGATTTCAGTGTTTTAAGCAGTTATAAAGCCCAAAGGCCAAATAGTTTTCAAGTAAGTGACTTTTATTTTTCTCTGACATTTCACAGTCAATTTCTACAAAACTTCATACTTCCTCAAAAGAATTCACATTTGGTAAAGAAACCTCTACCGTAAAGAATTCATAGCTGGAAAGACACTTCAATATATGCATGAGAATTACTGTTCTGCCAAAGGAATCAAAGTCAGACAATACCATAATCAATAAAAGCAAGGAGAGTGTAATAAATTACAAATGTCACCAAGCTCCATTCCCATAACCAATTCAATCAGCAGCTTTTTCTAGATGTGTTTCAACACTGCCAACACCATCTGCCAAAACTTCTCTTAAGGGTTGGTGTGAGTTAAGAATGGCTTTCAGAAAACAACAGCTTTGCCACAGAACCTCAGACAAGATCAGGTCATGCATCAGGAAGACTGTGACTACTTACAGCCGTGTAAAACCAACAGAGGTCCTGCCGGTCAACTCCGAGGTTCATCCACTTGTCAATCTGGCCTCTGGCCCCACAGGTCTGCTAGCCTCAATGGATGGCTCTTTGCTGGACCAGCTTCTCTACCTGGCTGCATCTGCTTACTGCTCCACTAGGGAGAGAACACCCAAGAGGCACTCGCAGCACCAAGTCACAAGATCAGAGAGGAGGCACTCAGCAACGAGCACTGGTGATGGCTCTCGGCGTCTTTTGCCTGACAGGAGGGAAGTGCAAACCTCCATCTAGGGAGAAGAGTCCAAGACGCGTAAGGTTCCACAGGGGAGTCTTCCGATGGCGTAAATCTGGTTCTCAGCAAGTGTGTTCAGATTTTTGCCTCAGTAAGACTTATGCCTGGTGCCCAGGCTGTTCTGAATGCACCTGTTTCTATGGCTTTGCTGCCAAACATATTCTGCCAAAAAGGAAGCGTCCTAGCATGGTGTGCAGAGCAGAGCTGCGGTAGCACCACACAGATTGAGGGGAGGCAAGGGGAGCGGGCCAAGAGAAAAAATATTAAAAGCAGCTGAGCCTCCTTAAAGACCTATTTGCTCTGATTTCTGAAACTCTTTCTGAAAGCACATGGCAGGTAATAATTCTGCATTGATTAGCAGAGTCCAAGAGAGTTTACTGGGTTGTTTATTTCTAAACCGCGTTTGAGAACAAAATGCAGGCAATTCGAAGCCTTCTAATTTTAAAACTATGTTAAGAGTTACCACTATCATTAGCTTCTAGCCTTGGAAGAACTTCAAGACCATTTTCCTTGCAGAAAAAATGAAGTTGGTCATTCTTAAGATTTTCAAGAGAATGAAATTTTTTAAATGGGAGAATAAGAAGTTGGCAACTTTACAACCTAGAAATCTGGTTTATGATGAAGCCGAAAAACCGTGTATCATCTGCAAGTTCTCATAATACTCTCTATTTCTAGGTGGACTTCACAGAACCCACTATACCTTTGGCTTTGCTGCCAAAATCCAATGCATAACAAACATGGAAGACTGCTCCACATCACTGTGACATCAGACGAATGAAAACTGGATGTGGAAAGAAAATGGATAACAAGAATGTTTTCCAATTTTCTGTAGACTTGTATGTCATAACCTTGCAATGATTTTAATTCAAAGTTTATCAAGCTTAATAGTATTTTCTTTCTTCTTTTGTAAAAACAAGAGGGAAAAAAAGTGGTAGCAGAGGGCAGACTTGGATTACACAATTGGAAACCATGAAGCTGTCCTTAAGATTTTCACATATAAAACAGGTTGCATTGTTTCAAAAAAGAGAGAAAAAAAAGGCATAAATTACTAGAATCTTCCAGCTCCTAACCAAGAGATGCTAGCCATTTCTCCTTTCTTTAGACTCTATGAGTCAAAAAAGCAGTTCATCAACTGTAGCTCCAGATGGTCCTAAATCCATTCTATACTTTACAAATCCAAAGTATTTCGCCTACCAGTTTAAGAGAAATCTGGCTTGTGATTAAAGTGTAAGAGTTAACAGTGCTACTCTTTCCCTTCGACTTTCAAGTTTAAAAAAACAAAGCTTTAAGTGATTAAGTGCTTGCATCCGAAGAGCAATCTGTGCCAAAGCACTTCAGGTTCCTGCCAAAGGGCACAGGGCCTTGTGGAAGGCAAGCACCCTCCTCTTGTACCTTCGTCTGTCACTAAGACCTTCACGGGAAGACCCATGAAGGGCTCCTGTGTCACCTGCTCCCTGGCTTGACAGGTGCCGCTCTGCATGCTTGCCGGCATCACTGCACCCTCGATCACGGCTGGTGAGTGGGGTGGCGAGAGGTGACAGCTAGAAGGGCCCAGCACAATCACCTCTCACACTTTGCCCCATGAGCCATCAAACTGCCTGCAGGCTGAGGAAGAGGGACTCAAGGACACCCAAACCTGAGGTCCTCGCTGGAACAGAGACGAAGGTAAACTGTGCATAGACCACAGGTTCAGACAGCAGCCGGGTCCTGGCATGTGGCTTCGTAAGTGAACCAATGAACAGTCTGAGTTTAAAAGGAAAAGATCTTACGTAAGCTTTGGGAAACAGGAGTAGGTAACAGTAAAAGAGTTAAAAAGCACTCAAGTAACAGGAAAATATGCCTTTGATGTTATATGTCTGGCTGCTCAGAGAATGCTTCCAGGTTACTGCCGGTATGACCTGACCCTGACGTTAAAGATGCCTGCAGCCTGGCCCAGGCCTGAGGAGCCCTGCTCTTAGTGGCCTCTATGAACAGCCGGGTCTGCTCCTTGAGCTGGTCAAGTTCCACCTGAGTTGCCTGGTTCTGACGAATCAACTCCTTGGTTTTCAAAGTGATCTCCAGCAAACCGGATTTGTGCAGGACTACCAGGGTATTCTGAAAGCGCCTGTGCTTGCTCTGCCGCTGCTCTGGGAAGCTATCTGGGCTGCGGCAGAAGTGCTCGGCGGCCCACAGAGCGGAGCTGTAACTGGCCGCCGGCGGGGACAGCGGGGAGCTGCTCTCCACCCCGTGCAGGGTACTGTCGGAAGCACAGACGGGGCTGGCGGGGGAGGCAAAGGTCAGGCTGGGAGCTTTAGCCACGTGGCTGCTGGACACCGGCTGGAGAGTCTGTGGACTGCCACCCGCCACCAGGGAGGGCACGCCCTGCAGAGCCGAGTCCTCGGCAAGCTTGGCGCTGGGGGGCGAGGGGGTTGGGGGCTGGGGTGGGCCAGCACTGGTCTTGGTTGGCTCGTGAGCGGACAGGCCGGGCCCCAGTCTCTCAGTACAGACCTTCTTCTGCATGCCACCTTCTCCTCGTTCTTCTGGGCTGCGGGAAGGGCCCCTTTTGCCAGGGTGAGGGGCTATTTTGGTGTAAGAATTGAGAATGGGCAAGTAGTTCCTGGAGTCAGACTTTTTCTCACCGGCGTGACACGGGCTGACAGGAGACGGGACTGGCGGATGAAGGAATAAGAGCTGTGGCTGGGCCGAGATCACTTCAAAGGAGGGCTGGACAGTCCACGACTGGAGCTGGGAGGAGCTGCTGCCCTGAGGACAAAGGGAAAGAGCGGCAAACTGCTCGTTATCCACAGCTGTCCACGAGGCAGAGCAAATACTCAGACGTAAGGACGGAGCTTTCCACACACGGGGTAGCCCTTCTTGACAAGACTGGAGATGAAAGTGGCTTCAATATTCACTTGGGTCTGATACCACAGATTTTCTCTCTCAAGGGAAAACTGGAGGGAATGGCTATCTTTATTCAAGTGCTGTCACTCAAGAAAAAGAAAAGCGTAGGTAGGTGGAGTAATGACACAGTCAAGGTCACAACTGAGGCAATAAAAGTACGGATGGTATGACTTGCTGTCATAAATTAAAACGTGCTTATCTCAATACCATAAATGTGACTTTACACCAAAGTAAAGTCTTCCTTTAGTTACTTGTGGAATCTCTTTTACATGAAAACTTTTGATTAAAAAGTTACGTAGTTTTTAAAAAGTTACCTAGTGTCAGGAGTCCACAGGTCTGCTTTTATGGCAATGACCCCCAACAACCACAAAGCTCTGCAAGGCAGTAACAGCCACCACGTGCGGGTGCTTCCACACTGTGTGTGATTTTACATGGTTGTTGCAGTGTTCTCCTGTCTTTGGGCCTGGTTAGAAGCACAGCTCTCCTCACTGAAACGAGGAGATTTGAGAATAAAGTCATGAATACCTGAAGCCAGGCAGAAAGAGCCCTGACAGAGGCTCTCCCCTTTGGTGGAGTCACGTGATTTATCTGCAGAAAGTGATGGACCCTGCTCCCACGTGGGTACCTGATTTGCACACATTTCAGCTTCATAGATACCTGGTTAAGAACTCTTAGCCAAGTTCAACTACAGTTCACCTCCTGTGGAAAAGGTGGGATGACCTGGAAGCCCATTCTGGAGCCCTCTTAGTGTTCAAATATACTCTGAGAGGTGCTGCAATAACAAGCAAGCAATGCTGAGCCTAGCAAACACACTCCCCCAGCAGAGGAGATACAGAATCAGGAGTCTTTCAAAGAAGAGATCAGCCCAGTGCAGCTCAGCCAAAAGCAAAACTTCAGGCTGTCCCCTTGGTCAATCACACCACAGGGATTGACCTCCAAGGCACAAAGACCCAGAAAATACCTAATTCATTGCTCTCCCAAGATTACTCTTTCTAATGCTGCTGTTATGCCCACTGACTTAGTCTGTTTGTCCCAATTATTAGATTTGTACAAGGTTACCACTCTTGTTGAAATCATCTAAGGGAATACCAGAGAATATTTTAGACTTGCACAGGACCTCAGAATCATTTCACAAAAAGCCTCATGTTAAAGATGAGGAAATTGAAGTCCATGGTGATGAAATAATTTGTGTGTAAGAAGGCATAGTCTGGTGACAGAACTGGAATCAGACTCACCAGAGAAAAATATCTAAAAAAAAGCAGCAATAATTAAGACATTATATAATAAGCAAAGATTTTTAAATTTTGGAATGTGGTGGAATTCTAGCATATGTGAAAACACAAAACTCCTAGACTGCTCCATCAGGTCAGTCTGCCCCCAAGCCTCCTGTCTCCTGATCAAGCCTTCCCAATGGGTCTTTATCCTGAAGACTACGGCTCTGCAGGGCCCGCCTCCTCACGAGCAACTGCAGGCTGTTCTCCACCCTCCAGCGCTGCCACAACACCCACAACAAAAAACACAGATGCCTAAGAAAGAGTGACAAGGGGGCCAGAGAGGAAGGCGGAGACGAAGGCAGAGAGGAGAGAGCAGGAGACAGGAGTCCTGAGGAGCACCGGTGGAGCCTGAACAACCCCATTTGGGCTCCATTTCATGTTTTTATTCTCAAATCTCCTCGTTTCAGGGAGGAGAGCTGTGCTTCCAGCTGAGACGTGATTTATCAAGCAAATATCTTCAAATTTTTAGATCCAAACTCACCAGGTTGCCTTGCTGAAAATCAGTTTGAGTTGCTCAGCAGTAACTAGGTAACAGTTAAGACATTAGGGTTTTCTGTCGGGCTACAGCCACGTTCTTCCACCTAAGGTGGGAAGGTCACCTACACACAGTCAGACTGCAAACTTCACTGGATTCAAACAGCCTCATTAACAGAACCACAAGAGGACTAGTCTGTTTCAGAGCAAAGCAGGATAAGGTTACATGTTCTCTAACTAAGTTCATAGGATTGAATTCTCTGACTCAAACACTGGGGCTAAGCTTAAGATTTTTTATCTAAATCTTTTCTTTCATATCTAGACAATAACCACATAATTTGCATAGTTATGTGATAAAACCTACAACAAAGTACTATTCAATTCTATGGCAATGCTATGTGGAGTCTGCTGGTAAAGTCATACCTATACCAAAGAGTTGCTTTTTCACTAATGACATAGCTCTGGCTGATTACTAAGAAAATGCTCAGAATATAACATGATAAATAGGGAAATTGCCTCTACTTCTCAAAGTCCCCAAGGAAATTCAAATTAAAAAAAAAAAGAGCCTCTTGTTTCAACCCTAAACTCTGTCATATCTTAGATGCACTATGGAAGTTAGGACATTTCTGCTTGGTTCCTTTAAACATGACTAAGGTATTTCAGACACCTTTGGACAAACTAGGGATGCAGTCTTAATGTCTGGAAAATGAGAATACATGTCCTGAATCCTGTATTCCTTTTTTCAAACCAGGTCAGTAGCTAAAAGGCCACACCCTCTTCCCAGGAGAGCAGCATGTGTTGGTGTGATTTCTGGTGGTCTGCTTCTCACATCCCTCCTTGGCGGAGAGAAACTCGGTGCACAGGAAGCTCAGAAACTCGAGTGTGCAAAGCGTGACGAGCGCGTGGTCCTCCTCACCTGTTTGACCAGCACGTTCTTCATGACCACCATGGGGGACAGAGTCGGGAAGGCTCCACTCGCAGGCTTGGAACTTGGCCTTGGCCTGTCCTCTCGGCTCCAGCCTAAGGCGCTCAGCATGTCCTCGGACTCCATCTGCTCGGCCGAGCTCAGGCATTCTGAGCTCCCATCTGCTGGGCAGAGAAATGGTCAGTTCACTTGGGCTCCTAACCAGTCCTCCTGGGGAGCCACAGACCCCCTGAAATCGAATGGAACATTTGTGACCGTGCTTTTGAGAATTCTGAGGAGCAAGTCTACCTTTCATGGGATTCTCAATGGGATGCATAATTATCCCTTCCACCCCAAGAGATTAATAATTGCTGCACTGGGACAGCAGACTTCTGTTCTGACTTTCTTATAGACAAAAGCCAGCATCAATTAGGGTTCATGTGAAAGTAATCATCACCAGTCTACATGTGAAAGTAATCATCACCAGTCTACAGAAGTGGGTAAAGGCTTCAATGTTAGCTCATTACTTTTAAGAATCTGTGGTTGAAAAGGAGAGGAGTGTGCATGGGACCTGAGACAAGATGAAGATCTTTAGAGGCCCTAGGCACCACATGATGTAATAACAACAAAAACAAGTAACAATAAAACCCCAAGCCTTACCACCTTGCTGAAATTAAAATAGATGCCTCCTAAGTCTCCTAATTGTAAAAGTCTGGATAAGTTCATCAAGTTGAGGCTTATGATGTCTTTGTTTTCCTCCTCCACCCAGTTAAGCACCTCCTTTGTTAGTGTCCTAAATGCATCATGCTGAGTGTGCCTACTGGGGATCCTGTACAACTGGTGATGGAGAGATTCTCTCCACGGCCGAGAAAAGGTTGCTCGACGTGACATCCATAGAGAACGGACTTAATTAGCTCCTTGCTGGAGTAAACCAGGAGACTGCCAGTAAGGAGGCTCGGAATACCTGAAACGCTCGTCAGAAATCTCAGTGTCACCTGGACGAGGCAAGACTGGAATGCGACTATAATGGAGAAGAGTGCAGCTGTTAATACCTGCCTTTAATCAGATTCTCCGGAGATGCTTTTCAGAAATCACGGGTCTTGGGGTCTTCCCCTCAATCTAGGAATTGATTTATCTGGTGTCCAGGCACATGTATTTTCACAAAGCACCACAAGTAATCCAGATGTGCACCTTTAGTTAAGAACTATTGGGCCATAAACAAAAAACTTCAGAAGAAAAGTACGTACCTAGTACGTGTATCTTGTTTTCTATGCAAATGCCATTCTGCATGAAAATGAAACCAGGGCTCCTTGGAGAAATGGCTGATGTCTTTGGCAGGGAAAGTGCAAGACAAGCCTAGACATCTTACTGTCCCAGAAAGCAAGGAAGCACTCAAACAAAAATGCGAGACACGTCAAAGACACAGGTGCCATCTAGAAGAGACCCCCACTGATCCAATGTGGGACAACCTGGTATCAAAAAGAATACTGATAACGGGTTGACAAACCAAATCCGAAAAGAATTCTGTGAATCTACAGTGATGCTCAAAAAAGGGGGCAGAGAAATGTTTCTTTACAAAAGATCATCAGCTAATAAAATGTAAACGAATGATATAGAATTAGATCACCATTTTTCAAACCACAAACGTAGTAACTGGTTCAGGCAAGCATCATCAATGGATACGAAAACCAGTGGTCAAGAGGTTGTTGGAAAACAGGAGAGTCACACAATCTCAAAGTATCATCCCATAAACTGCTTATTAATTACAAAGAGAAAGGGGTACTTTCATAATAAAGAAATAGGGTCTACAATTACTCCCTTAATCAGAGCATCACCAAGAAGACAAACCTAGGAGTCACCTCATGTGTTGCAATGAGAAGGATATAACACCAAAAATTTATTTTTCTATTTAAAAAATGTTTATTCTGTTTCTAATACTGGGGAAGCTTCCAGAGAAGTCCAGTGTGAAACATTCTACAAAACAACAGGCCTAACTCATTTAAAGATATCGATTTCACAGAGAAAAAAAAGAAAGGAAAGAAAAGAGAAGACAAGGGAACTGTTCTAGACTAACCAAGATCAAAAAGACTGGACAATGAAATGAAATGCACAACCTTCAGCTGAGTTCTACACCCAAAACAAGCAAATATACAAAATAAGACTAACAGTTATAAAGGACACTATTGGGACAATGGGAAAAATCTAAATATGGACTGGAGCTAATTAGTGACTGCCAATTGCATCACATCCCAAGGTAACTGAAAGGACAACTCCAGCAGTGATGACACCACTGGTACCTGGCCCAGAGTGGCTGGAGGCCGTCACTGGGACCACCTTCTGGGGCATACAAATCTGAGTGTTTTTAATACTGCCATGTGTCTGAACAGCACAGAACTTCTTAAGGCACTTCTGCATAGAGAATAGGAAACTTTCAGAAAACTACCCAGACTGTGCAACATGCTACAAAACAGCTGGCCTGATGGAGCTGAAGTTGTTAGAGGAAGTACCAAAATGGCCACAGTATTGAGAATAACAAGGGGTGGGGTTATGGTTAATGTTTATTTTCTTCTTTGCATGTACCTAAACTTCTGAGTTTCTTCAATGAGCATTTATTACCTTCATGATGTTAAAAAAAAAAAAACCAAATATGATATTAAGACAGAGAGAAAAAAAAAAAAGACATAGGCCTGCAGTTTCCTAAACCTGTCTGATCACAGGCATCACCAGAGACACTTGTCAAAATATGAAACCCACATTCCAGGCCCTCCCCCCAGACCCTCGATGTCACAATCTCCAGGAGAGGGGTCTGGTGTTTTTTAACAAATGCCTCAGAAGAGCCTTATGATGTGGGGAACTTGGGAAACAACATGAAAAGATTGAGAAGAAAAACCCAAAGAGCTATACGCTGGCCCTGACTTTCCTGAACTGTCCTTACTCTAATCCCTGACCTGGTGCTCTGTTCCTCCTGGAGCAACAATCTATTGATAACCTGGCTTCCCCTGCAGCTTTACCTACAGAGAGAAAATGTACCGATCTAAGGATGACAGAGTTCAGGATTCCTAAGAGCTGCATTTCTCACTATAAATTCATAAATTGACAAGATGGACTGATTAGTCTCTGTGGGCTGGAAAACAGAAATCTTCCTCCAGGAGAGGGCTCCATTCTCTCGGGATGCTGGCCCAGGCCGAGTCCCCTGGCATCACCCCTCTGCATCCCCTGGGCCAAAAACGTTGCCACTCGAGCTGTATTTAAGCCACTACTCTCTGACCTGGAGATAAAAAAAGACTCAGCACAAAATTAAAAGATTTACTGGGCATGCAGCTAGTTCTTTCAGAAAAACTAGTAAGGAAAACTGTCCTGCTTTCTCGTCTCTAATAGGTACTCAGGTTTAGAATGGGGCCAGGAGACTCACAGACCAAACACAAAAAGCAAACACTGGCAGGGATGGGCTGTCAGGAGGAAACGTTTTTAAACACAGCAAAATATTTTCTTAGAAAAAACGTATCTTAACAAATTATATACTACCTTTGTTTAATTTGTTATATGTGGTGACAACATACAGATTTTTTTCCCAATGTGATTACTGGAATGCAATGTAACTGCAATATAACTATTCCTGTGAGAAAGGAGGAAAGACAACAGAATTATGAGTATTTTATATCTTTTCTCCCATAACCACTTGCCACAGTGGGAAATATGTAAGATTTGAAGTTGAGAGTCTGAGCTGAAAAAAGACGTCAAACCGTTCCTTCGGAACTAACCCCACTGTGTCTCTGATGAATACCCTGCCATGTGGCAAAAGAACTACCATTTTAAGAGACCAGAAAGCCATTCATTTCTCCTGTGGGTGAAATCTTTCCATCCTTATCACACAAATGAGTTTTATGGAGGACGTTTTTTCAGGCAAATCATTCACTACAGTGTAGAAACGATAAGGTAATTTTAACCTGAAAATCCAGAGTCCTTATCTGACTCAGCAGCTGCCAGGCCGAGCTGACGAGACGCCTTTTTCATCTCCGAGCCCTTGCTTGGTTTGGCTGACAGCCTTCGAGAGCCCTCTCTGGACGGGTTCTTCCTCTCCATGTTTTACTGGGCTGCAAGGGGACTCATCAGTACTCTTTTCATCTAGACTGCCCTGTGAAAAAAACAACAGTTACGTAAGAAGTCACTGCCTGGAAAGCTGGGACAGGTAAGCCTGCACTGAGTAAAGTCGGGGCAAAGGACAGGGGCCTCGCCCACGTCCTCTCCGGGCACTTTCTCAGAGGTCTCAGCTGACTAAGGCAACACGTTTGCTCAGCAGGAGAATAGTTTCCACCCAAAGGCGGGCTCACTGTCCTCTCCCTGCCCTCTAAATCCATTACAAATGCAAAGCACACAGATCTTTCAGTGGAAGCTTTGTAAACTGCTAACAAAGGCACATTTGATTAGCTCTCTGGAATGCTCCCTCAGGGAGAAGAAGAGAGGAGAGGGGATGCCCACCTCGGACCAGGCCTGCTTCCCAGGATACATCCGCAGGCCTGAGACTTTCTGCCACCTCCCTAAGTGTAGTTTCTCAAATAAACCTTTCAGTTCTTTAGAGGAGGTAGTGAACAGAGAAAAAAACAACTCCTTATATATGCATGCCACATTCTGGCTTAGAAAGTGCATCTATGCACACGGAAGACCAGATAGACCAGCGATTTGATCCACAAACGCCCATAACATTATTGATGTTAAGATTCTCTCATTTGAGCCTCACAACATCCTTCTCAGTTGTTATCCCATTTTACAGAGGAGGAAGTTGACTCAGATAAGTTATAGTCAGTCATTTAAAAATATTTCCGAGTGCCTGCTGTGAACTAGGCATGATGCTAAGAATGGGGGGTACAGCGTGAATCAAATAGACCTGGTTCCCCTCTTCCTGGAGAGACGCCTGCCTAGATTTGATCCAGAGACGCACAGCTAGTTCAAAGCAGATGCAGAACTAGGTTAACAGTGCAAAGTGTGAGACCAATGAGCCCGTCAAGATATTTTAACAGGGCCCACTGAACAGCCAGGGCTTCCCTGGCTCAGATGCTAAAGAATCTGCCTCCAATGCAGGAGACCTGGGTTTGATCCCCAGGTCGAGAAGATCCCCTGGTGAAAGGCATGGCAACCCACTCCAGTATTCCTGCCTGGAGAATTCCATGGACAGAGGAACCTGGCGGGCTACAGTCCATGGGGTCACAAAGAGTCAGACATGACTGAGCAACTAACACTTTCACTTTCTTTTCTGAACAGCCAAGGGATGGCAGCTGGAAAGGGGGCACAGTAAGAACACAAGGATACTGCAGGGATAAAGAGAACAGCGGACCAACAGGGAAAACGACAACAACAACGCAACTGGGTAAGTGCTCCAGTCTGAATGTCTGTGCCCCCCCCAAAATTCATATATGGAGTCTTAGTCCCCCAAGATGATGGTATTAGAAGGTGGGGCTTAGGTCACGAGGGTTTCACCTCATGGGATGAGTGCCTTAGGCTTCAGAAAGGTCCCCAACCCCTTGCACCAGAGTCAGTGAGAAGTCTGTGACCCAAAAGAAGGCTGTCCCTGGACCATGCCGGCACCCTAAGCTTGGACTTTCAGTTTCCAGAACTGGGAGAAATAAATTTCTGTGGTTTATAAGCTACCCGGTCTGTGGTATTTTGTCATGATAGCCCAAATGGACCAAGGTAGTAGGTTTAAGCAACACCTGGTGGCCTTCTTATTCACAATTCATTTTCGACTCCATCTGTTTGTTCTTCTGAGAAGAGAGAAACATGGGCCCCCTGTCAGACAGCCGTGTATCTAAAAACACCCTGAAAATGCCAAGTGTGAACGTTTCTGCTAATACAGGATCTAGTGAAGAACCACCACCACTCCAGAAGCAGAGGAGGGATTGGAAATAAAATTAAATAGAAGCCAAGGATGCTTACAGGCATCCTTGAACAGCTCTCTTGCTCTTTTGCATAAGACAGAAGTGGACTAAAGGGAATGCACACTGATCAGAATGAGGCTGAGTTAAACACAATTCCCAGTGAAAATGAGCCTGTGCCATATCTAACTCATTCAAGGCGAGTGGCTCCCCACTCAGTCCACATCACGCTGAGCACTCCTTGGTGGAGCACATTTAGTACCATGTGCATGAAAGGCACATTTCTCATTAAAAAAAAAGAGATAGCGCTAAGTCGTGTCTGACTCTTGTGATCCCATGGACTGTAGCCCACCAGGCTCCTCTGTCCGTGGGATTCTCCAGGCAAGAACACTGGTGTGGGTTGCCATTTCCTGCTCCAGGGAACTTCCCAACCCAGGAATCAAATCCAGGTCTCCCTCACTGCAGGCCCTGTCACAGCTCTCATGGCGCTATCCAAAAGCACGTCTCTCCACCGGACAGCGAGGAAGTCTGCCAGCATAGACAAGTCAGCTTAAAAAGCAAAAGAAAATGCAAAACTGTTCTCTAATTAAATCTGTAGCTTTTTGTATGAAACCCAACAAATGTACACAGTTTCATTCTCCTGAAATACTGCTGTCTGAAACTGAACAGAGGGCTTCTTCAAAAATGGCAGCAGCTCTCCCTGGTGGAGGGGCTATCAGAGTAAATTCAAGCCTGACCCTGCTACTGATTTAGATTGGGAAGGTAGCTCATGGCAGTTGCAATAATTCAGAATTTGACGAAGTTTCACATTATCTTTTGAAATGGATTATTTTACAGGCACTTGAGATAAAGCATCCCAACTTCTTCCACAATCTTTGCAACAAGACAAGGAACAAGGTCTTGCTACTGTTATTAAGCTGCAGTCAATGGAGCTACAGAAAATACACAGGAATTTATCCTGTTTGTCTGAGAATTTTCAGGACAATACTGACTGTGGAGTCAAAATGCTAAAATGTTGACGTTAAAAGGAGAACAGATGTAAAAATTTTAGATTCTTGACAATTGGAAATAGAGACTGCATAATCTACTTCAGAATAATAAAAGTGACTGCTTTGGATGTGGAAGTGCTAAAAATATGAAAGCCTCTGTCCTAAGTAAAATTCTCTTTCAGCAGTCTTAGTGTCCCGGAGAAGGTCAAGTGGGAATGAGAACAAAGGGCTACATGCCATCTGACCTTTCCTCTCTGAGACAGGCGCTTCCCTCCCAGAAGTGGCGCTGAAGATGTCAGTTAGCCAGTGAACAACAGACCTGTTCATACACAGCATAGACGAGGCCCTCGACGAGAGACAGACAGAGCGACGGCATTTACCACTGGTGCACTCAAACCCAGGGCTAGGACAATGGCAAAGTCTGAAAACGTCAAGATTATGTTCCTAGTCGGTATCATTTTACAATAAAGTCAGATGCTCATAAGCTAACCAGGGGTTGAAGACGGGTTACCAAGATCATACCCACTGTACCATCTCTGATTCCTGGCACAGACTGAAAACCACAACAACTGTCTTACACACATCTCAGATCTTCATGAGCCTAACTCTGCATTAGGAGGACTCCGAGCTAAGTTTGAATTGACCTGAGAAAGGTCTCTTATAAGTGCACATGTAACACATGGTCCAAAAGGTTCCCGGAGAGAACAGTATACACTAAAAGTCACAACAGAAAGTTAACCAATACATCTAGCGGTTTACATCAATAGGTGTAAGATAAAAAATTCTAACAAGTGTGGCACAGCACTTGGTTCTTCTATTTATGCACTTCTTACATTAGAGTCTAATGATCTGTTCATCTCTTCAACCTCAAGGGTTGACTTTTCATCTCGGCAAACTCAGCCCCTAACAATTAATGTGTGAGATATACTCACAGAATAATAAATTCCAACAAACTTGTCCTCAGGACAGTCCTAACAGTTTAGCTGCCACCAAAACACCTGAATGGCTTGAAGGTCAGGAATACGCATTTCCTGGTCACCTCAAACACCATGGTAACCTCAAGATTTAATGTCTAGGTCTGGTTTCCTGCAGGAAACAGGTATTTCATCCACGCCTCATTTTAAGCTACCCCTCACATTCTGGCTTTAAATCCAGCAGCCAAACTAAAGGTTGGTCTAATCTACAATCTCTATGGAGATTCAGGCTTCTCATAGAAAGGAGGCCCAAGGCATAGAAGGGAAGTATCTGAAAAGCTGCTTGCAGATTCCTCTGTAATAGACAACTTGGCAACTTTCCTGAGAGCTCAAGTTCCCTTTAAAATGTGTCACGTGTATAGCAGGCATGCACAGACAGAGGTGTGAGGTGAAAGCCCAAGCAGAGGTTTAAATACAATAAAGATACATGGCCAGAGAAAATTAAGACCTTACCACCCAAAAAGCCATGAGTAATTCTAGTTGGAATTATAAATGCATTACTAGGTTTTCTCTGAAGTCATTTTCCGTTGGTCTGCATTTTCAGAGATACCAATCTGGGGGAATGTCTGTGGATTTTAACAAAGGAGGGAAAAAAAAAACAAAAACAAAACCAACCATCTACCTACATCTCTAATACTCCTCTTCCCTTTCACAACCATTTGCACGCTTCAATTTGGCTGTAAATTCCAGTCAAAGATCCTGAACCCGATTCCATACAAATGTCCTCTGTCTGGAACCAGGTATGGCTTACTCATTTTCCTCTTTCAAAGATTAGATGAGACTACAGAACTTCCTCAAACCCCTCTGCCTGGAGAAGAGTTCGCAGCTAACAGTGCCCACCACCCCCTCCCTGTTCGCACCAGCCCACGATACATCTGTGCCAGACAGCAGGAGCGCCCTCCAGGCACCCACCAGCCTGCAGGCTCAGCAGGGCAGAACTGGGCAGACCCTAGGACTGTGCTGTGACTGGCATGCCACCAGCCTGCCAGGACAAACGCCCAGGACATGCAGTACTGCCAGGACTTGGGCAATCACAGGGAGCCTGGCTGCGGCCCGGTGCCCTGGGGCCTGGATGGATCGGAGGTCCCCTCAACCCACCCGCTGTCAACCACTCAATCCTTACTTGGCACTGGCCACCTTCTCGGCCACCTCCCCGCCCCCTGGCACCGCGCCTGGCACAAGCTGGTCACCCGGGGGGCAAAAGTACCAGCAAAGTGGGTGCCAGCGAGTCTCTGGAAAAAGACAGCATACCTGTGCCCCGGGTCCAGAACTGGGAACTACCCACCCCGCGCCCCCACCCCACAACCCCAAACGGGGGGGAGGGGGCGGTCCCAGGACCCTCACAGGGTTACCAGCGCTACTTGGTCCCCACACATAAACCCCTCCTCACCCGTGACCTCCTCTCCCACGCGGTCCTGACACTCGCAGCAAAACCAACCGACCAAATGGGGCAGGGAGCATCACCTGCTCCCACCATCTGGCCCTCGGCACCCCGAAAGTGCCCGCTCTCCGTCTTGCCTGTTCCCTCCTCCTCTCCCTTGTGCCCGCTTCCTCTCCGCCGGCTCCTCGCCCAAACCCCTTTCCCCTGCCCCCGCAGCCCTCCGTCGCTCACCTAGGACTGGGGTCGCAGCTCCACAGGCGGACGACCCGTGGGTACGGAGGCGCATGCGCGAGCCCGGCCCCGCGGCTCCATGACAACCTCGTCGTCGTCGTCGTCGTCGTCGTCGCGTCTCAAGCGATCCCCCCCTCTCGGCCGCCCGCCCATTTCTCCTCCCCCCTCCCCCCAGCCTCCGCGACGGCTTTCGCCAGTCACGTGACGCGGCTCGGCTGACCCGGCACCACCGAGACTGCTCGCTGTTCTCCTAGAAGGGCCCTTGGAGGCTCCCGCTCTTCCCGTCTCAGCCGGAAGACGACGCCGGCACGTCGCCCTCAGAGGGGCGGGGGTGGGGGAGGGGCGTCCCTTCAGAGGTCGGCGCTCTCTCCGCGGAAGGCGGGCATCTCTATGGTTAGTAGTTCCTTAGGCCAAGCCGCCATTTTGTACGGGGGCCTTGTGGTATGGGAGCTTGTGGTATAGGAGCTGCTGTGGAGCGGGTGGAGGACGCGGTTCTGAGGCGGGGTCTGGAGAAGCTGGGGCCGGTCGGCTTCTAGCTGACGAGGCCGGAAGCGTGATTCTTCTGAGGGCGTGGGTGAAAGTCAGCCCGGGGAGACGGCTCTCTCGGTTTGTACCCCGAGACGCCGTCAGCGTTGGTGACCGGGACGGGCCATTGGCCGACTTGCGCGCGAGCCCGAGCGGAAGGAGCCGGGCAGGTTCGCTGGGTCTCGGCCCGAAGGAGGCTTGCCCGGACCGCCCCCCGACCGCCCCCAGCGCTGCTCATCTTGTCGAGCCTGTCGCGGCGGTCGGTTTGCCTTCCTTTCCTCCAGACAGTGCTTCACGTGGCAGGGACGCAATCAGTATTTTTTTGATGGGTGATTTCATGTCATTTGATGTATGACTCATTGTGCGACTGACCGAGATGTTGAGTTTAAAATGGATCCTGTTTCTCGGGCCAGTTCTAGAAGTGTCACCACGAACAACGTGTTATCTGCTAAACCAAAAAAAAAGGGGTGGGCGGTGTGCGATCAGTTGAAATTCCGATGCATTGAATCGGTGGTTACCTCCTAAATTAGAAAAAGTTATTTTACAGTTGGAAAAGGGGACACGGATGAATTTAAAGATTGCCACCGGTAGAGGCAAGTTGTGGAGCTGCCCTGTCCAGTAGGGTAGCCACTAATCACGAGGGGGTAGTGAAACTGATTAAATGAAATGAAAAAGGGGGGGGGTTCATTCAGGCGTGCACATTTCAAGTCCTCAGTAACCACGTGTAGCTAATGGTTACTTGGTTGGACAGCGCAGGTTGTGCAGCGCATTGATTGCCAGCATCGAGGATAGTTAGCGTTGGATCTAGATGATGGGCGGAGGAAATTCTCCCTCTGTTGGTATAATTCAAGCCTTGCAGAGTCATAGGTAATCCCATTAGTCCTCCAGACACAGATAATGCTAATGCATTACCAGCCGTGAATGTATTTATTAGCATAAGCTCTACCAACAAATAATTGAGTGCCTGCAGCCTATATGGCTTTTGTTTAGGGGATGGAAGGACTGTTAACAATTATCAAGTAATGAAGAGCCAGGCAGCTTTGCATGTATTCTCTTAGGTGTGTGTGTATGAGATTTCTGTCACTGAGTTGTGTCTGACTTCTTTGTGACCACATGGACTGTAGCTGTCAGACTCCTTTGTTCATGGGATTGTCCAGGCAAGAATACTGGAGTGGGTAGCCATTTCCTTCTCCAGGGTATCTTCCCCACCCAGGGATTGAACCCTGGTCTCCTGCATCGCAGGCAGATTCTTTGCAATCTAAGACACCAGGGAAGGCCATTCTCTTACTGATGCCTGTCCAAGTTAATGAGGTCACTGCTTATTCATGTTTCCATTTTTTAGATGGAGGCACAGAAGTTTATGTCCATGATGACAGAGCTACTAAGCCCTGGATCTAAACAATTAGGCCATACTGCCTCTTTTGGAGGCAGAATAAAACAGTGTCTGCCCTCAAATACCTTAGAATCTAATACGGGAACTATAGACATGTTTTAATAAGTTGTATGAGAGAGAATATGATAAATGCCAGTGGATTCTGAACAAAATCTAATAGAGTCAAAAGAAAAATAACCTTCTGCTTGTTTTCTGTTGTTGACAGAGGAAGAGACCAGGAGGTAAAGCTTTAAGAAGGTCAGGAAAAAGTAGGATATCCAGTCATGGAAGTGGGTGAGAGCAGAGTGCATACCAGCCAAAAGAAAAAAAGTGAAATAAGCAAAGGCATGAAGATTATTTTAATCTTCCACAAGGGGAAATAAATCATACTTCCCTGGTTTCACCTATCTAATGACCAGGCCATGCTGTATCAGTCATTTGAACTTCAAAAACAGATTTGGTAGTGGAACCAAATGAATCAGACTAATTTACTGATAGGCATAATTTTAATTGAGCTACTGTATGCTTCTATTGTGTATAATTAGATACACAGAATAACCAATTCATGAAAATGGATAATGAATCTTTTATATAGCCTAACCAATGTAAAATTTTTCTTTCTTTGCTGATTCACCAGGGTTTGCAAATCAGCATCCTCTGATGATAGTTTCCTAACAAAGTGCCATGAGTTGTTTTAATCTTTGTCATCACACTCAGGGTTCTGTGACGGAGAGTGGTTTTCCAAGCACGATTTTTTCTTGTTGAGGAATCCTTTGCAATTTGAGCCTTCAATAGCAGTCGTGGTTTAAGACTCATTTTGCCGCCACCACTGCCAGCAGGGGGAGACCTGCTCCTTTAAATGCTACACTTAGGGGTTTGCAAAAACAGTTCTTTTCCCTTCTGCCCTCACAGAGTGCCTGCCACACATTGGAGGTCAGAGACTGCACCTCTGCTCAGCCTTCACGAAGTTCCTACCTGCCCTGACCATGTGAGGATTTGAGTTTTCAGTCCTACATAGGATGCCACGAAGAGTTACCTTTGTACTGAGTTTTATTTGAAGATATTTTCAAGTATCCAATCTAGTATGTAATTTGCAATGTAAGTAATTCTTTAATACTTATTTTAGCAAAGTTGAATTTAAAATTAAAGTTATTTTTAAATTAATTAAAATAGTATAATAGCAGTGAAAGTATTCAAAAGATCTAATTTCAATTCCCAGCTCCTATTGATAGCATTTTATAAAGGATGGGGTATTTCAACATCTTCCCTCACGTAAGACACAGGAAAGAACAGAGGCCATAATCTCACAAGTCGAAAACTGAATAACTTCTGCTTTATGAAAACTCATTGCTTTTCTTATTTTTCCAGTTTTGCTGAGGAGCAGTGAAAACATCACCACAAAGACTGGCATTAGTTCTTGAAGCAACAGTAGAGAACCATCTTTTTTTTCCCTTGAACCTCAGTTTGGCCATCTGTAACACGGTTATCCTCTATCCACAGTTATCCTGAATCTGGCATTCAGCATTACTGGCGACCACGTCACAGTTTTTTTAATAGGATTTGATGGATTTGTGGTTATGTGTGTGCCCCCAGAGTCCCAGCACCATGGGTCAGTGAGAGGAGAGGAGGGGGATGTTCCAGCCTGTGTGTGGGGATAGGAACCAGCAGTTCCTGGACTAGCAGAGGCAGAGATGAGTGATATCAGGATGCACATTCCATTTTTCCTCAGGAATCAAGTGCCTAAGCCCCCACCAGCCAGGTTAGTTCTCAGCTCATATTTTTAGGGCTATCTGGAAGAACAGAGACAATAAAAGGACATTTGGGTTATAGTCAGTATGTCAGTATACAAAGCATGGGTTTGATTTCAGGGACAATGGAAACCCCTCCCACCTAGCTCCCCATTTGCCCAAACCTGAAATTCCTCAAGTATAAGTGCTCAACCTGCAGCTGCTCTAGAACCCAAGACAAATTCTCTCGTCATAACTGACACAGAGTGCTATTTCCAGACACTGTCCTAAGTGACTTGCCCGGATTTACTCCTTTAATCCTCCCACAGTCCTGTGACATGGTTGTGGTATCATTCTTCTCATTTTACAGAGGAGGAGACTAAGGTCAAGAGGCCATGTCACTTGCCAAGGTCATGGGTGGTAGGTGGTGGAGCAGGAATTGAATTCTAGAGTCCTTACTTCTGGCCACTCTGCTAGACTGCGAGTTTGGTGGAAATGGTGCTACCACACCCTTTCCTGCTGTGCTGAGCAGGAGACCAGTGGGGAGCAGAGCTGAAGGCAGTAGGTCCAAACACTTGTGTGGGAAAGGATGCCAGGAGTGGAGACTGGGCACCGTAAAGGCAAAGTCTGCAGAAAACACCTCCAGCTGATCCTCTCTCTCTCTCACTCTGCACATGGCAGAGATATTTCTTGTGCATGACAGGGTATATGCTAATTTCAACCCACACATCTTTCCAAACCACTCAGCAGCTGCCTTTTGCTTGTTTTATCCCCTGTCTAGAATCTTTCTGGTGGAAAGGTTTTTAAAGTGTCATCTTCCCCCCTCACTGAAGATGAAGCCTGTGATTTAAACTCACAACTTCTCTCTAGATGACTCCAAAAGCTGTTCAGTTGTCCCTTTGTATAGACCGATTTGACTTAGAAGTTCTCCTTGGCCTTGTAGCTTCCCTTCTGGGCTTCCCTCCCTTCTGTAAACAGCTTTCCAATCACAACTGAGTTCCCCACCATGGGCTCACCAAACACAAGAAATACAGGCCAGCACAGCAGAAAGCCAGAGAGAACTGTGGAACCTGACACTCCAGTAATAGGAAGCTGGCTAGAGAGCCCAAGAGGCAGCTTCCTCGTAGACATTAATTACTCTTGAACACTTTCTGTGTCTTGTGGCTTGATCTAAACTGGTTTGCCTTGTAATTTCTTGGGTACCCATCTCCCCCGCTGGGTCTAAACTCTTTCAGGGCAGGGATTATACTGAATGTTTTTCTCCTACAAAACAAGTTCTTCATAGTAAGCATTCAACCAACTTGACATCAGGGAGACCCCAGGTTCCTGAAAAGTTGACGATGGGCTTACATATCACTGACTGGACTTCAGAGAAGGAAGACTCTGCCAACCGGGCCTCTGGTACAAGGCTTGAATGGACACGCCCTTTTATTTTATTTTGTTGCTCCACTCTCCCCCACCTCCAGGCCTTTTGCACACGACTGTATGTGTCATGTTGAGAAGCTGGAGTGAAGGTCGCTGCCCACAGGTTTTGCTCCACACTTGTGATTCTGGCAAAGAAATTCCAGAACCTCTGTTGCTCTTGCTGCCTCACCTCACCCTATCCCCAGTCTTTGAAGGGTCTGTTGTGCATTTGCTTAAAAATGCCCTTGAATCCTCCTCCCTCACTTTTGATTTGGCTCGTGGCTGACTCTTATTTGGAATCCCATGAAGAACTGTGTAAAGCCTGGTAGTCAGGGATTTTACAAATGCCATGGCTTCCCTTTGCAGATGCAGAAATGCCCGAGAACTTCCCCACCAGTACTCCCCTTTTCAGCGCCAGATAGGCAGGGCTGGTGAAGGCCGAGGCCTTCACTCCACGTGGGTGGGCCAGCTTGGCATCAGTCAGCATCTCAACAGGCTGGATAAATCAGGATGGCACAAGATGTTGGGTTCAAGCCTTGCCCAGTTGTTCATCAGAGCTACCTGGTTGATTTTATCTCCAACTGATTACCTGATCCCAGAGTTCAACATCTTAAATCTCAAACAAGAGACTGAAAAGCAAGTAATTTCCTAAAAAGACTTAAACATTAATATCATATTTGTGGGAACAGGCAGTGGACAGATACCCTTTTTTTTTTTTAATTTGGGGGAGTGGTCCTTTTGAAATTCACATGAAAAAGATGAGTACTCTTAGACTCCCAAATCTGAAGTGGCATTTAAATTTAAGTCCTTTTCTTAATGTCAGAGATGCTTTCTGACATTCCTTATGCATTCTGCAAAGCTTTATTGGATTTTTCAGTCTATTTTAAAGACTAGGATGTCTGTACCTACAGTGGAGTAAGGCAGCTCATTTGCCTAAAATGTCTGGGAAATCATTCCAAAGAAATTACTGAGAACATTCTCTTCTGATTTTATAAAAGAGTATGGTTTATTCACCCAGAACTTAGGTTTCTTTGAGATGTTGAGTGTCCCTTTTAAGACTTAAAGGCTTCTTTTATCCAGTAAAATTTCATCCCAGCTGGAGTCATGGGACCCGCTGATCTGGAGCCCTTATTGAATTGTCAGTCATCCACATGCAGAATTTCAGGGCTTTTGGTCCCCTGCTTTGTGGACAGGGATAACAGGATCACCCACAGGACTTACCCACAGGGTAAATCCAAGAAAACTCACTGGATGTCTTGTGCTAATAGTTTAACGAAATTCTCCCTCTAGCACTTTCTGACAGGGCCTGGGGATTTTCTCCAATGTTATCACATTTCAGGAGAGATGGTGTCATCCAGGTGTAGGTGTTCTTGGCTGTCCTTTACCTATTGTCTCCTCATGTCACATATAGCTGAGAGAGCAGACGACAGGTTCATCTGTATTACATGGGGAATTACCAAGTGGTTGCCTGGCAACTCATGCAGCACAATCAACATGGTCTCTGGTAGAATTTAGAGTGGTTGACTTGCCTTTCGAGAATGTCTGTGTTTGCATATTTCTTTTGGGCTTCTGGAAAAAATAGGTCATGTTTTCCTGATTTGAGGCTATTAAAATGGACTTCTGTACTGCTTTACAGTACAGAAATTTAGTATTCATTTTATAGCAGCCCGTTATTGTCAGAAATGACAACAATCTAAATCATTAATGCAGCAATTGCTTCAATTCAATTCAATTCAATAAGCATCTTCCCTGTGCCAGCTACTATGCTAAATACTGTCAGGAGTTATAAGGATGAACAGGTATGGTCCCTGTCTCGGGGAATGTGTGTGTTTAATCGATGTATATGAATCATTTGTTTATACATGTGAGACAGCTGAGATGGATATGTAAAAGGAAGGTATTGTTATTTGGAAGAGTTCCTTAGTGTTTGATCAAAGGATTTTTCCCTTTTATTTAGATTCATTCCTTTATAGCTTACAGCTGCAATCAGTTCAAAACACTGCAATCAGTTCGAAATCACTTTTAAGACAGAGCTCTTATTGGAATCTCAGTAATTAGCAGCTTTTAAACAGCTCTTTTGGAGTCTGACCCCACCATTGTTGGGAGGATGGTGCTGCCCTCTGTCTGCACTGCCGTCTTCCCTCTTCCTGTAACATTGCTACTGAGGCGTTCACAGCAGGCCCCCACCTCTAGTTTATGTTTCCGTTATAAGAATCCCCTTGCTTTTCTTTGCCTACAGTGCCATCAGCCTCCCTCCACTTAAGGAGGGACTTTGGCATGTTCCAGATCTTGCATTAAGGAGTCTTTGAGCTTGACCCCTTGAGCGAGGTCTTTCCCATCGGGTAGACCATGGCTAGACAGCACCCAGGGTTTGACTAGCCCCTTTCCCTGGAGTTGATTCTCCTGGGGGATTGGTTTGGCATCTTTTCTTCCCCAGGAAGCTGCCAGGCGTGGAGTGAGAGATCTGTCGGTTGCAGCACTGGTGCCCAGCCCGGCACACACTCACTGGCCGCCCCTTCTGAGTGGACTTGTATCCACAGATGAAGGCTGTAGCTCCCGTGGGTAGCTGTACTCTGGCACCAGAAATGTCCCCCCGCCTCCATGTTTTGTGAACCCAACTTGCGTCCCACATCCCAGGCAGGACCTGCAGCTTGCTCATCTCTGCTGCCCAGTTCCCTCAGACACTGCCATTCGTGAGAAATCACTCAGACCTAGACCTCCCGTCTTCACATAGAGCGCCTGACCTTTGCTTCCAGACCCAGTGTCAGGCAGAAGGGGACATCAGGAAGGGGACAGAGGGGAGAAGGGAACCGCATGTGACCCGGCCCTGTAGAGATGTTTTCCTGATGCTTCCTCATCGCGTCCTCATGGCAGCTTCTGTAGCTCTTGACGGCCCATTCCCCAGATGAAGCTCAGACATGTGAATACCTACTGCTCTAAGGAGTCCTAATGTATCCTCCTGTCTCCAAGCACCTTTTCACTTAGGATCAGACCAACCAACATTCACCGTGCACTGTGTACCTCCCGAGGGTCCAAGGACACATTCAAGACTAGGACACAGTCTCCACCCCTGAGAAGTTCACAGCTCAGTGTTGATAAGTGTGGTAATGAGGATGCCAAACATAGAAGATCAGTGAACTCAGGAAGAGGGTGGGAGTCAGGAAAAGATACAGAGAGAGTCAGTCCAAGCTCTGGAAGGTTGGCAGACAAGGGAGGCCTCTCTGTTTACCTTTCAAAATGGGCTTGGAGCAGGGTCCCTTTTAACACCCTTTGATGCTGGCAAATCCTTGACTTCTCTATATCATCCACATTGCAGCTAGCCCACAGGTCCTCTCATTCCAACTTCAGTTGAAACAGCAAAAACCTTTGCCTCAGCTCCTGATCACTTAGAAACCTTTAGCAATCATATCTACCTCTCTGCCCTAACACAGAAAAGAGTTACTTCTTTTCCTTCCAGCCCTGAACCCTAGGATTTCCCCCTTCCTAGGGCCCTCTGGAGAAGGGGGAGGGGAGGCAGGGCCATCAGCCAGTGGGAGAATTGCTCTTGGAAGAAGTCTGCTCTGTAAGCACATTTCAAGGTGTCTTTACTAAAGACGGGATGTTCGAAGTTGAATGGCACATAGAGGAGAAGAATAAAGTGCAGTGTTTCACAGCAGCGCACCACTAGATTTCACCAGCCTAGGGGTTGCCAATGAGGTCACACTGACATCCAGGCTCAATCTTACCAGCTCTGAGCCCCTCTTGAAGGTCTAGAAGTTCCTACTTTAATGTCCTGTCAACTCTTCCTCAGTTACTTCTGGAGGCCCCTGAGGTGTCTCCCAGAGGAGACAGGGTTAGATCCACTAAGCTGTTCCATTGTGACCTCCTGGCGGTCCTACTGATGTTCCCACTCTTCACAGCCCCTTGGAAAGGGTACCTAGGGACTTCCCTAATGGTCCAGGGGTTAAGAATCAGCCTGCCAATGCAAGGGACATGGGTTTAACTCCTGGTCTGGGAGGATTCCCCATGCCGTGGGCAATTGAGCCTGTTGCAGCCCTACTGAAGCCCGTGTACCCTAGAGCCCATGCTTCGAAACAGTAGAAGCCACTGCAATAGGAAGCCCAAGCATCACAACTAGAGAGTAGCTTGCCACAACTAGAGCAAGCCTGCATGCAGCAAAAAAGAACCAGCGCAGCCAAAAATAAGATAAACAAGATAAATGAATAATTGTTTAAAGAAGTGCACCTCATCAGCCTGTGTATCTTCGGTAAGAACACTGTTCTTAGAGTGGTCACTCCTGTTGCCTGGGGATGCCATTTTCTCCTGGGGCCACTACACCACTAAGTTGCCAAAGTGGAGGGCGGGATGGATCTGTAGGGAACCAATGAGCTTCTCACTGATCGGTTGCCCTTTACAGCCCGTGTCCCCTAGCAGAAGCGCTGGTATCTTAGTTGCTCAAAGTCTCACATGATGACTTGTCTCGCCATCTATCACCCTAACTCTCCTCACTGGGCCTGGAGACGAGTCTCTGAGGCAGGATGCAGGATGTCAGCTCCATCAGTTCCTTCCCTTACTCTGACCTTCTTCCCCAAGGACCTCTGCACCCAAACAAAACAACCCCCACAAAGCAAAAGAAGTAAAACTCAAAACCCTTCTACTTCAAGAAAAATAACAAAACTGTGCCAACTGATGCAAACAGATACTAATACTTGGGGTGGAGGTGAGGTGGGGGGGTTGGTGGTGGTCAGTAAACTCCTTCCCAGAGTTAACAAAAGCCAGGAGTACTGAGGGTTTCTTATATAACTTGAAAATGAGGTGAAGACTACCCACCCCGTTAAAGGTTCCGCTTGTTTCCATGGGATGTAATGCATGAAAGTGGCTATCTCATGGGCAATCGGTGAGGGTGTCATTTAAGAGAAATTAGCAGGACTTCCCTGGTGTTCCGGTGGCTAAGACTCTGAGCTCCCCTCACAGGGGGCCCAGGTTCAACCCCTGGTTGAGGAATTAGATCCCACATGTTGCAACTAAGAGTTGGAATGCCACAACTGAAGATCCTGCCTGCTGCAATGAAGAGAGAAGATTCCTGCATGCTGCAACTAAGACCCAGTGCAGCCAAATAGTTTTTTTAAGAGAAATTAGCAGTGGTGGCTGTCAAATGGGGTTCTTGCTCTATAAGAATTTTGATTGTAGACTGGAATCATGTATCTCTAAAACAACAACAACAAAAACCAACCAAGACAGAGCAAAACTATTTAGATCCAGGTAATGCAAAAGACAAAGACAGCAGTGGAATTTCCCTGAAAGTAAACTTCATGGTATGGTAGACAGCTCAGGGAGTGGCATTAAAGATATCCATCAAATTCAGGCTTTGTCACAACCCGTGGTCTGCTCCCTGATTAAATCTCTTTACCTCTCTGAGCTGCTATTTTTCAGTTTTGAAAGGAAGTGAAGATAATGTCTGCCCTCCTTTCCAGGGTGGTGAGGAGAGGATAAGACATGTAAGTGAACGTGCTTTACAAGCTATAAAGCGTTTGTTGTCCTCTAAAGGCAAGCTGGAGGAAGGAAATACAGCAGCCCTCACATCCATGTGACTTTCACGAGACTGCTGCGGTCTTTCCCGGGGTAGCTCTGTGTCCACACATCATGTGTCTTCAGCCCAGATGTGAGATCTGGACCCAACAGAATCCATCTCGACACACTGCCTTGTCCTTGTTTTAAGGCCAAGTGGGAAACAGTCCATGTCTCCTCCACTGCTGAGGCCAGTCCTAGAACCAGAGGCAATGGGACTGACGTAGTGCATGTGTGTGCTCGCTGACATCAAGCATCCACTCCCCTTCACCATCAGGAGCCACTTTCCATCGCGGAATCATTGCTGCACTTTCCCCAGTATCATTCTTCATGTCAAGAGCACTGGTGACTGACACAGTTATCTGAAAAGAGTATTTCACTAGTATCTTTGGGATTTGTTTTCCAAGGTAGGGACACTCTTCAGGTTTTGATGCTGGTACTTTCTTGATCTTGCCGGAAGGATGCGGCATAAGCAGGAGGTGAGTAACACCAGCACCAGGAAAGCAGAGCCCTGCTCTGCTACTTGCAGAACTGGAATTCTGGGGGCTGGGACCTGCCTGAGGTCTGGAATGCAAGTCAGCAGCTACTTTACACCTTCTTCAAATGGTGAAAGGAGCTATAGAAACTGGCTGTTATGGTCTAAGTATATTGTAAGTTCGAAACCCAAGTGTTGGGACTTCCCAGTGGTTAAGATTCTGCCTTCCAATGCAGGGGGTGTGGGTTTGATCCCTGGCCAAGGAGCCAAGATCCCGCATGCTTCACAGCCAAAAAACCAAAACGTAAGGGGAAAAAAAAAAAAACAGGAGCAACGTGCCTAGTCGCTCAGTCTTGTCTGATTCTTTGTGACCCCATGGACTGTAGCCCGCCAGGCTCCTCTGTCCATGGGGATTCTCCAGGCAAGAATACTGGTGTGGGTTGCCATGCCCTCCTCCAAGGGATCTTCCCAACCCAGGGATCAAACCCAGGTCTCCTGAATTGCAGGTGCATTCTTTACTCTCTGAGCCACCAGGGAAGCCCTCAGAAGCAATAGCATTACAAATTCAATAAAGACTTTTAAATGATCCACGTTTAAAAAAAAAATTAAAAGAATCTTAACAGAAATATGTGTTCTGTTACTAAGATTGCTTGTTTAAAAACATCTTTCATCATTAGCTTTGGCCAACAAGGTATCTGGGACCAGAAACACATAGGATGTCTGTCAAATGGACACAAAAGATCACTTCCACACAATATGCTCCTTCCAGAACTGAGAAGAAGCCTCAGTAAACATGAAATGGTCAATGGTATGCAACAAAGGGCTTCCCTGGCGGCTCAGACGGTAAAGAATCTGCCTGCAATGCAGGAGACCCAGGTTTGATCCCTGGGTTGGGAAGATCCCCTGGAGAAGGAAATAGCAACCTACTCCAGTATTCTTGCCTAGGAAATCCATGGACAGAGGACTATACCTGCTGGGGTATAGTCCATGGTGTTGCAAAAAGTCGGATACGACTGAGCGACTCACAAACACACATGCAAAAGAGGCAAGTAAAGGCTGACGTGGAACTTTGTCACTCTGTTCTTGGAAGAATAATATTGTGTGTCCAGTATGTAGTCAACATAATGATGTGTTACCACTGATTTCTCCTGGCTCAAGACATGAAATTATGAAGAGGTAGATTTCTGGATCTAAACAGAAAGAGATGCTGTCTGCCCTGGAGGAAGATTCCTCCTGTGCATTAATGAGACAATAAAAAATACATAAGCAGCTCTTCTCTACCTGTTATTCTAAATCTTCATTGATAAATCACTATACCTCACGTGAACTTACAAATTTTTATAAGGTGTTCATTTTAATTTGTTTATACAGACAAGAGGCTCACAAGAAATTTTTCCTGAGGCCTGACTTAAAGGTGGCCACTGCCTGGCCAATGGTGTCATGGGTTTCAAAGATACTAGAATATGAAAATTAAAACTTGCATCTTTTTCTTCCTACAGTCCTTGCAAAGTGTCATGCATCTTAAAATAGCAGAAATGCAACAATTTAGTGGCTTAGAAAAGATAGGCATTTCTTTTTCACTTGAGATAGTCATTCCAGGCTAGCAGGAGGCTCTGCCTGCTCCTTCAGGGATCCAGGTTCCTGTGCATTTTTCTCCATCATCCCTTCTCTATCATCATTCTCACTTGCACCGGCAAAGCCTGGGTCTCAGGCAACTTCTTGTTCCTGTTCAAGGGAAGGAAAGAGTATGGATGGCATACCACTGCCTTAGGTCTGGTCAACTCTTCTGTTCATTTAGTGTTAGCTTAGGGTCATGGTCACACCTAACTGCAAGGGAGTCTGGGAGATTCTGTTCCCAGTTGGGCAGCTATGAGCCCAGTGGCAAATATGTTACTATGGAAGAGGGGGAGAGGATCTTGATGAAACTTTGGTGGTCTCCATTTCAGGAAGCCATTTGAAGGAATCATGCCAGTTGCTATTTTGTCCCAGAGACACCTAAGAACGTGTTTGTCACCTGGAGGTTGAGGTGGATGGCCATGGCACAGCCTCTGTAGTGCCAGGCAAGTCCTGCTTGTACTCTCACTGGTCACCTTGATGGATGAGCTTCTGAGCTCCCTTTCTGTCTAGACTGCGGTAGGGACCTGTGGCTTTTTGTCATCTGGAATCCTCTCACCCATCCCCTGGTCTTTGTGGTTTTCCTCTTGGGAACCCTTTCTTTTCCATCTTTGGCGTCCTGCATGCAGAGTTGACTGTGCTCTCAGATCCAGAGGGGGGCATGTGACCACGGCCTGGCCAACTAGGCCTGTACGTTCTCTGGCCATGGTGTTTTGCTCGGTGACAGACTCTTGACCAAATCAGAGCCAAGAAAATACAATGACACTTTTGCAAGGACTGCAGGAATGAAAACGTGTCCCCTTTTTCCCCTCCACAAGTCTCCAGCCTGGGAAGATACAGCACTGGCGCATCGGTGGCCATCTGGGCCCTCTGAGAATTCCAAAACTGGAGAAGAGCAGAATCCAGAACCAAGTCCTGGTGACATTGTTTGAGTCCCTGGTTCAAGCTGGACCTGAGCCAGCAAGGTGCCTAAATCCCTGGTCTTCTCAGTTACAAGAGACAGCATCCACCCTCACCCTGTTAGGTCATCTAGAGTTGCATTCTACAGGGCACTAACTTGAGACGCCCATGGAGATTTGGCCTCTTTTGTCCTGGAGTGAAAATTCCCTTGAGGTATGTGTGGCCAGCTCTCCCCTGGATCTCCTTAGCTGTGTAGTTATTGAATGAGCACTACTCCTAGCCAGAAATGATTTTACCCCTGAGGACATTTGGTGGTGTCCAGAGGCAGTCTTGATTGGCATGCTATTGATGTCTTGTGGATAGAAGCCAGAAATGGTTCTAAATATCTTACAAAGCACAGGATTTCCCCCACAACAAAGAATTATCCAGCCCAAATACCTTTAGTGCTGAGGTTGAAAAGCCCTGCTAACCCCACGCTGTCCCTTGGACTGCAAGGAGATCAAACCAGTCTAATCCTAAAGGAAATCAACCCTGAATACTCATTGAAAGGACTGACGCTAAAGCTGAAGCTCCAATACTTTGGCCACCTGATGCGAAGAGCTGATTCATTGGAAAAGACCCTGATGCTGGGAAAGATTGAAGGCAGGAGGAGAAGGGGGCGACAGAGGATGAGATGGTTGGATGGCATCACCAACTCAATGGACATGAGTTTGAGCAAGCTCTGGGAGAGAGTGAAGGACAGGGAAGCCTGGCATGCTGCAGTCCATAGGGTCGCAAAGAGTCAGACACAAGTGAGCAACTGAACAACAGCAACAACAACAAAACCCCCCAGGGAGCACTCAGCACTCTGGAGTTACTTCCCAGTTCGAACACTCTCTGAGGATCCGAGGCTCCCAGAAGGGCTGTGTTCTCACCAGGGAAGGCCTCATTCGGAGAATCTCCTGGGCTTGTCAGCTCCAGGCAAAGTGACAGCAATTTGTTCATGATGAAGTTCTTTGGGAAACTGATCCAAGAGTGTTGCCACTGGCTGCTGGAGGGTTGTGACTGCTTCTTGGCACCAGGGCTCGAGAAAGAGAGAAATGGGTGGCCTGGTGACAAATGAGATTTTATTTAGGGCCTAGCATTTTTAAAGAGCGTTAGGAGCCCTCGGTCCTACAGACTGTGACAAACTAGGCTTGTTTAGGTCCTGAAATATCACTGACATCATCGGCATGAAAAGCGCTTTTCTCTGAAATATAGAGAACCAGAGTTGCTACACCCTGCAGCCTCTGTGCTGGGGACGGCAGGCTTTTCTAGAAGCGCTGACTGTGGAAGGGCCCTGCTTTCCAGGCTTCTCAGTTCCACTTGCATTCCAACCTAACGCCTCTGCTCAGCTGGGTCCTCAATGGGAGCAGGAACCTTCTTGGTGTGTGTCTGATCCCAGCAGGGACTTTCCACAGGCTTGTGAGCTGAAGACCCTGGACTCTCTGACTGCAGAGTCCCAGCTTCTGCCTGGCCCTGGTGTTGAATCTCCAGGGCCCTTCTTTTCAGAGCCCAACTCCTAAAGAAGGAATGAAGCTTTACTCCCAAGCTTGGTGCATGGACAGTGAGAGAGAGGAGATGCACAGGCAGCCTTTTTTTTCCCCCAATAATACCAAGACACTGAAAGGACTGTTCAGATCACGGCTCCAACATCCTTGGGGAATTTTTATTTTTTTAGCAGGACTTTCTCCACTGGTGCTCTCCCCTCTTTGCTCAGGCCCCTCCCCCACTTAGCTGAAGTGTGCACGGAGCTTTCGGAAAAACAGCTCTCGTTCCCAGACCAGGCTTGTCCTCCCAGGAACCTTCCTGCCAACCTCATCTGTCGCCTCCCCATCCCAGGGTGAAGTCAGACCACAGCGGGGTGAAGAGTTCGCAGGGTGTGGGTGTTTTGCACCAGGACAAGGAGTCCTTTTTTTCCCCCCTGTTCTTGGTGTCATTTCAAGACAGATAGGAAGGAAACATGAGTAAATAGTCCTCCTCTCTGGACAAAAGCTGAGATGGCCTTTTCTTCAGGAACTTCCCTGTGGGTCAGTCAAGGCTGTGCCCCCGGCCGGGTGACGCACGCAGGTGGAAATATAAGACCCAACTTGCCTTCAAACCCTTGAGCTCAGCAAAACCAGTCCCTGAACATGGGATGTGGTCAAAGGGCAACTCAGTTTGTGCCTCTCACTGTCCGCTTGAACCTTTTGCTTTTGGCCACGCCGCACCACTTTGTGGGATCTTAGCTTGGGGCCGAGTGAGTGTGTGGCGTCCTAACCACTGGACCACCGGGAATCCCCGCCAATTGAACTTTTCAGAGAAGGAGGCAATTCCCTGCTTCAGCCCCCGGATGAAAGCCCCACTGACCCCACACCTCTTCTGGCCAGGCTCAGGTATGGCCCTCCTGTGTCACAAAGCCCAGGATCGATGTAGAGGTCTAAAGCAGCTGGTTATAGATATGACATGATGCGTTCATCTTCCTTCAGAGACCTACCTGCCTCCTTTTGCTCCAAGGCCTGGAGTTGGGGTGCCGGCCTTCAGGGACTTGGCTGTGGGAGTGCTCTGTCTGTTTTCTCACCTGACAGCCTCCGCTCCCCACGTGCTGGCGGTTTGCAGGGCCTAATGGAGAGAGGCGAATGGTGGGGGGCAGAAGGGAGAGAACTGAAGAATAGGTCAATTCTTTTTTTTCTTTTTAAGAAACTTTTTCAAAAGTGTTATTCATTTTTCAATTGTGCCAGGTCTTCTCTCGTTGCAGAGCACAGTCTCTGAGCTTGCGGGCATCAGTAACTGTGGGGCATGGCTTAGCTGCTCCGCAGCATGTGGGGTCCT